CATTATTATCTCCTCTTTTTAAAATTCCCGATATCATTTTACCTTTACATCTATATATGAATTTGGAGGGGCAATTTCTTTATAAGGTCCTGTACCTAAATCATCATCAATTATGAACAAAAATGAAAATTGAACTTGTAAAACAAATTACCTAAAACAATTGGCACAATGTTCTGCCCTACAAACAATTAATTTTTAAAATTAAAAATCTTGTTTTAGTGTTACCCCATCGGGACTTTTACTGTAGACGTAATTTCAATTGACCCTAAATTTATAAATTGGAAAATTTGATTCATAAGGGTACTCTTTAAACTCTTGTCTGGTAAACTGTCAAGGATACGTCCTTGTTTTGTTTTTCGCGCGAAAATGACTTATTTTTCTATCTCAGGAAACAAAAAGAGGAATTTCCGCAAAGTCTCCAATATATTGGTAACTCACTTTGGAAAGCTTCTCGAGAAAAAGGTTCTTGATTCCTCGGAAATTCCCGAAGGGTTCTTTAAAATTGGTCTTTAAAATTTTGGGGAATAGATCTTTGACACTTTATTTCGAGAAATTCCAAATGACTTTTTCAGCAAATTCTTGAGAATTTCTCTGGAATATTGATCAGGAAATTCCTGAAATTCTTGAAATCTCTGAATTATAATATGAGTTCATTCTTACAATTTCTATTTTCCCAGGCCCTATATTCTTTTCATCATCAATTTGCATATTCTAGAACGTTCTTTCTCTTAAAAGCCATGAAATATATTTAATCCTCATTATGCAATACCAGGCCGTACAAAAAGGCCGCTTTTTCATTGTAAATTCAGTCTGGGATCTACAGGCAGAACTACTATTCCAACCAGGTTTCCCTATAAATTAATTCCTGATCAATATAAAGAATTTCCGCAGAATTTTTAATGAAATTTTATACCGTGATTACGGTTTCATGCTGCAGAGACAAGATAGGAAATTGTGAAAATTGAGAACTTTTCAAGATAAAAACGACGAATTCTTTCTCATTGTTACTCAGATATAGGGGTAAGTGTACACTGTTAGTTGGCGGACATGTCATTCTAAATATGGAAGTTCAATTTTAAACTAATTCAACAATTGCGTTAAGAACAGTTAATCATAAAAATTAAATTGTCTTTCCTAAGAAATTCCAAAATTTTTCAGTGATGTAATCTTGGCAGAGAGAGTTCTCAAAAGAGAGATAAAACTTGTATTTTTTCTCCATAGAATCATAACATTTCTCATCATCAGCACACACTTCCTCGTTACAGTCTCCAAATTGATCCACAGGCATCCATTTTTTCATTTCCTTATTTTGTGAAAAAAAGGTTAATGTTATAAAGAATAACTTCTCTTCGCGCTCCCAGAAATCTTATTTTTCCGATTGGAAACTAAAGATTAGATCATCTTATTTTTCCGATTGGAAACTAAAGATCAGATCATCAAATAAATATTGTGCTTTCTTTGGATATCCACATTTAGCTAACAATTTTGACCCTCACAGGGCAATAACTCCCAAATATTATTTTTATTGTAAGTGAACAGGTATAAAAAATTTCTTATTGAATGCAAACAAAAGTTGGATTAAGATCTGGGAACAAAAATTATAAACGAGAAGTAGTTGAACTACGTAGACTGAGTAAAACCACTTCTCTCCAACATGAAGCAGCACACAACAGAAGTGGTTCAACTACTTCTCGCTTTTTATAAAATCTGGTCCCAGAAATTAGTTTACCTCAACATATTTTTCCCTTCCAGAGTCCGTTTTACAATGGGAAACAATCCAAGCAGCTAGTTTTCTTGTATCATTTTTTAAAGGTTCCCATTTGACTTGTTCAGTTAACTTTTCAGTCTTCCCAAACGGTGTATAGATATCAGAATCTCTTCGGTAGGTCATCGTCAAATTGAATAAGTAATTAAACCTAAAGGAATTTAGTTTTTCCACTAACTATACATCTTCAAAATCGCATGGTGTAAACCTTTCAGTTTTTAAACTTAGGCTATTTTTTCAACAGAATTAATAGTCAGAGGTTTTAAAGATTTTAAAAACAAAGTTTGTGGCAAAAACTGAATTACATTGTATTAGATTTGTTTATAATGATATAAATTTAGGTCAAGAGGTTAGAAACATGTGCAGTTTTTGAATAAAAAATATGATTTTTTAGTTTTAAGAGGCCCACGGGGGTCTCCTTGGCTTACTCTACTATGTAGTTCTTGAAATTAACCAATTTCCTTTAATTTTAAGCTCTCTCAATGGTAAATGATCTCATTTTGTTATCCTAATAATATTCAGATGTCAAATTATTTTTGCCTGGATTCAAATCCATCTATTCCATCAAGAAAAGGACTCTCCCAAGAGAAATAAACATAAAACTGTTTTGAACTTCTGCTTTCAGGAAACTAAAGAAATAAAACAATTAATTATTTCCAGAATTGTGTAAAAAAGATTTATTTGTATTTTTAAAGATAATTTCAAGGGATCCTTATGCAAAGATGACAATGTCCGATTCACAATGAAACCTTTATTTGATTAATAATATAGAAGATATTATCATTTTATTAGACTTGAGAGTGTTTTATCTTTATANAAAGCTTTTAAGGGTACTGTTGTGGATGGGACATTCTTATCTATGTATGGAGAGTCAGTTAAAATTTAGCAGATAGTCCCTTTAAGAACATTAAAAGTATAAATAAATAATTGAACAACACTACTGATTAATTAAGATGAGAAGAAAGCATTAACCTACTATTTACTATAGAATGAAATAGTGAACTATCATGCACCCTTCTTAATCAGCATATAAATACCCCGGCCCCCCTCCCAATAAACCATTCCATTACTATATAGCGGTTATATTGTCACACCAAATTGTTAATAATAAACAATTCCATGATTATATAACAATTATATTGTCACACCAAATTGTTAATAATAAACCTTTTACATATAAAAATGTAAAACAAAATTAACCAAAAATCTCTTTGTGTTAGTCTACACGTACTTCTGGTACTAATAAACTGCAAAATTAATCAATATAATCTCTTTATGTCTCTCTAGTCTCTGGTCTATACGTACTACTGGTACTAGTAAACTGCAAAATTAACCAATAATCTCTTTATGTCTATATAGTCTATATGCACTACATGGTACTACTGGTACTATAGTAAACTGCAAAATTAACTAATAATCTCTTTATGTCTATATAGTCTATATGCACTACATGGTACTACTGGTACTATAGTAAACTGAAAAAAGTGAATTTTAACATTTTCCAGTAAACAAACAATCTTGAATAAGTTTTTTCATGTGTATAAATTAAACTTTCAACTGTTATAAGTTTATTAGTTTTAGTTTGCATAATTCTATTCAAGGTTTCAAGTGTTATCAGGTTCTGAAAAGTTTAGAGAAATGAGATTAAAGCTTTTGAAGATCCTTTCAAAGTTTTGTTTTGCATTGGCAGAAAAAAAGGTATTTTCTGAGAGTGAGTTATTTGGACAACCCCCCCCCCCTCCTAAAATTTGTGTGCAACCTCGCAAAAATACCTAGATAAAAATCAGTCTTATTCGCAGCGCTCGGCCCCTATACTGTCCTAGCCACAGCGCTAAACCTGAAGATTGTTTGTAACCTAATCTAACCTTTAAATAATAGATTAAGTCTTGGGAGGTTGCATACAAATTTGAGAAGGGGGGGAGGGCTGTCTCTGATGTATCCAAAAAAATTAGCAAAATCAAAAATTAGATATTATTTTTGTTACGATATTAATTTCCCATTTTTATTTGAACTCCCTGTACCTTAAACTCCTCTATACTTCTTGTGTTAAATATGATACTGTCAAAATTGCTTATATTGGCCAACAAAGACCTAAGAATATAAATTAGATAAAATTCATAAAAATTTGAATTTCAAGAATCTTCACAATTAACCCTATCCCCGCTGGGGTACTTGAAAACCAGGATACGCTGGGGGGGGGTCAATTTGACCCCCCCCTCTAAATCCCATATTTTATGTCCAAATATGAAAAATGATACATCATTAGAAAGCTCTACTTTTAGAATCTGCAAACAAATTTGCAAATTTGCGAAAATTGAGTTTTTTATCGCAAAATCCAGTTTTATAGTAAAAATGTTTGCAAAAAAAAATTTGTCCAAAAAATGACAAATTAAACCTTTTTGAAAAGCCCTTGACCATGTCATTTCAAATATGCAAAAATTTTTGCAAAATTTTAAATAACCTGATTTTTAATCAAGAAAAACTAAAAATGTGCAAATTTCCTTTGACAGGTTTTTTGCAAAAAATTAGCAATTTTTTTTCGCAAAACTTGTGCAATCCGTTTCCTTATGTCATAGGCTTTCCAAAAAGCTAAATTTTATCAAAATCTGACAAGTGAAAGTGGGTCAAAACAAAGATTTAGTTTGCTACAGGCATAAGCAGTCATTCAGGCAGTGTGCCTGAGGACTCAGGCAGTTAGTATTAAAGCCCGGTTTTAGGCCTAAAGGGAGGGCTTTGGGTATGTAAGAAAAGTCAGAAAATTTCAACAGCCTCAGACCAATACTTTTTTAGTTATGTAGAAAAAACTACAGGGGGGGGTCAAATTGCCCCCCCCCCCCAGCGGGAATAGGGTTAATGAGACTCATAGTGACAACCTGAAATGAAATTATAAATAAAATTGATTGATTGAATGTAAAGAAACAGAACCCAGCGCTAATTTTCTAATCCTGTATCTCTGCAACATACGTTAAGTTTTAGATATCAAAGGTTTACAATTTGAGGTTGCAAAGATATAGATTTAGAAAATTTAAGTTTGTGCGAATACTCAATCGTTGGTTAATATAATTTTTTAGACAATTTAATTTGATTAATTTAAACATTTTATCGTGTTATGCAATTAAAACATTTTTAATTTCCTCATTTTTCTTCTATGTCCAAACAATGCAGTACAATGTTTAAAGTTATATATTTAAAATCTATGAGAAATATAAAATATTCAAATCGTCGGACAAATGTTTCAGGGGGAACATGTATGGGGTTTTACTATGTTAAAGCCGCTTCACGCCCCTCTAATACTAATAATTTTAACATTTCCATGTTGCTTTTAAAGCCCCTATTTAGTTTTGTCATGGAGAAATTAAAATTTCGCAGATTTATCAGTTAAAATAAAGATTTATAAAATTTTAGACAAATTTTAAACTATTTTTCTCAACTTTGACAATTCACATTGGGTCGAGAGAGTTGCTACAAAAAAATGGGCCAGATCGGTTCAGCTGTTTTGACGTTTATAACAGACATGGCAGGGAAAATGTTGTTGAACAAAAATCATTAATCCTAGCTTTTGAAAGTCGTCTTTACCAAGGATTGTCTCCGGCCGGAGTCTTAACCCACCCACCAAACCAAACCTTCTCTTTTAGTCGATTCGCAAACTAAAACTAAAAATCCACGTTGAAACATCCTTTTTTTTAACCCAGCAATTATTTTCAGAAGACAATCATGTTTTAGTCACCAACCTATCACTCCTCTTGTTGTGTGTTTAAGACTCAATAGTAGGTTTATTTCTCTTTAGATGGAAAATTATGATCTCATTAACAAAACAATATTATGAATAATGTAGCAGCTAAGCAAAATGTTGATTTTGCGAACTTGGAATATTTATCTTGATTCTATATTTGTACAGAGTTTGTTGAGAAATCTATTTTTAACCTGATGCTAAAGTAAAGGGGCGCCCAGGGACGCTGGGGTTTCCGGTACATTCACCTTGGAATTTTGGCTGGGATTTGGGATTCCCACTCCCAGGACAAAGGGAGCAGGTCAACTGGTACCAAATCCACCGGCAGTTGACGACGAACCTTCATATTAGAGTGATTCTAGGAAAATTGGATTGTGAGTCGGAACTCAAGCTGAAACTACCATTCTTGGCCGTATAGTATCGAAAATCGTTTGTTATTTTTTAATGAATAATAAATTATTCATACTGTACATCGTTTAATACTTGGGTTGAATGAGAAAATATTTCTCCTTTTACCATTTTTTCATATACAACAATAACATTACAATAGTTTATTAATTTATCAGTTTATAAATAAATACCCTGCTCACCCAGCAACTTTAAAACTATGCCATTTCATTATTTGTATTTTCACTTGTCTGTCATTTTTTTAATATATACCTGCACTTCAATAAAATGTTAAACATTATAATTACATCATTTATGTTTTCAGGTTTGAAATAAATATTTTTTGCAACTATCGCTGAGTATCCTTGATTCATCAAGAAGAGAGAGATCAGTCACCTTTGTTAAATACTAACAAGAATAGTCAAGTCCTTAGCATATGTCAACAAATGATGTATTCATCAAAGAAGTTGATAATGATTGATTGAACATCAATAATTGAGTGTAAGACAGGTGTAAATACAAACTCACATACACTTAGTCAGGCAAAACACTATATTTTTGTTTGAATTTTAACTTTAATAATTTATTTTTTTATGGATAAGGGTTGTGGGCACAAGCTCACGCATACAAATAATACGAAATATCAATAAATCTATTTCAAGTTTGTCATCAAAGTCTTTCTATTATTTTGTTTTGCTCAAGATCAGTTAAAAGTCATTTACCCCAACGTTTTGTGTTGCGCCATTGTCTTAATAACTTGACCATGGGTATCCCTATAAACCATAGTGAACACTTATTTTACTCGGGCTGATCTTGCTTCCTATTTTTCCTTAGGCTTAACTGTTTGGTTTGGATAATATGATTTTTGTTAATCGCATGAAGCTTTGATTTGCCAATGACTTGTAGAAAGCTGGATTTTCAAACATAATTGAGTTATGTTCTTTTGTCCTTTTCTCAGTCAGTCATAAAAAGTAAAAAGAAAGAAATAAGGAATTTTTCCCTTTAAGAATTGATTTTGTTTTCTTTTGTCTTTTCTCTTCCATCTATCCTTTCCTTTTTTTTTGTTCTCTGTGTTCACTGGCTCTGTAAAAATTCTCTCTCAAATTCTCCTACTTAACTTTTCTTTTCTGCACTTTAATTGGATCAGCTTGTGCAAATGTCATGTTCATCAGTGCCCATCATTTTTGTTTTAATATTTAATAGTCTCAGAAGAAGACTGGGTGATTTGGGGAAATATCCCATGGGAATATCTCATATGTTTTTATCTGATTAGTAAAACACAGATTGTTTTTCCATTTTTTTCTGTAAAAATTATTTCGTGTTTTAAAAACTCCTCGATTTCTTAATTCATAAAAAGTACATTATGGCACTTCCAGATGTAAAAGAGCTTTTTTTTGGGACACTCTGTATATTTGGCTGTTTGCTTGTTTGTATTAAATACATATAAAAACAGCTGAACCAATCAGGACAATATTTTGTGTTGACTGACATGAGCCCAAGGACAATTTATAAACCCTATTCCCGCTGGGGCTTTAAAAGCAACATGGAAATGTTAAAATTATTAGTATTAGAGGGGCGTGAAGCGGCTTTAACATAGTAAAACCCCATACATGTTCCCCCTGAAACATTTGTCCGACGATTTGAATATTTTATATTTCTCATAGATTTTAAATATATAACTTTAAACATTGTACTGCATTGTTTGGACATAGAAGAAAAATGAGGAAATTAAAAATGTTTTAATTGCATAACACGATAAAATGTTTAAATTAATCAAATTAAATTGTCTAAAAAATTATATTAACCAACGATTGAGTATTCGCACAAACTTAAATTTTCTAAATCTATATCTTTGCAACCTCAAATTGTAAACCTTTGATATCTAAAACTTAACGTATGTTGCAGAGATACAGGATTAGAAAATTAGCGCTGGGTTCTGTTTCTTTACATTCAATCAATCAATTTTATTTATAATTTCATTTCAGGTTGTCACTATGAGTCTCATTAACCCTATTCCCGCTGGGGGGGGGGGGCAATTTGACCCCCCCCCTGTAGTTTTTTCTACATAACTAAAAAAGTATTGGTCTGAGGCTGTTGAAATTTTCTGACTTTTCTTACATACCCAAAGCCCTCCCTTTAGGCCTAAAACCGGGCTTTAATACTAACTGCCTGAGTCCTCAGGCACACTGCCTGAATGACTGCTTTTGCCTGTAGCAAACTAAATCTTTGTTTTGACCCACTTTCACTTGTCAGATTTTGATAAAATTTAGCTTTTTGGAAAGCCTATGACATAAGGAAACGGATTGCACAAGTTTTGCGAAAAAAAAATTGCAAATTTTTTGCAAACAACCTGTCAAAGGAAATTTGCACATTTTTAGTTTTTCTTGATTAAAAATCAGGTTTTTTAAAATTTTGCAAAAATTTTTGCATATTTGAAATGGCATGGTCAAGGGCTTTTCAAAAATGTATAATTTTTCATTTTTTGGACAAATTTTTTTTGGCAAACATTTTTACTATAAAACTGGATTTTGCGATAAAAAATTCAATTTTCGCAAATTTGCAATTTTTTTTGCAGATTCTAAAAGTAGAGCACAAGAGCTTTCTAATGATGTATCATTTGTCATATTTGGACATAAAACATGGGATTTAGAGGGGGGGGGTCAAATTGACCCCCCCCCAGCGTATCCTGGTTTTCAAGTACCCCAGCAGGGATAGGGTTAAAGATATTTTTCCTATAAATATTTGGATTCAGAAACATTTTCTAAATCCACCAACGAATAACGATTACAGAAAGATTCACAAAATTTTACAGTGATGATTTTTATACTGTACACTTTACACGGAAAAATGGGTGCAACTATAGCAATATTTTAGGATTAAAACTATAATAAGAAAGATAGGTACAAAACGCTCTGAAATTCTGGTAAAAATATATGATAATAAAAATTAGAAAACCTGTTATTGGTTACAAAACAATTGTTCACGCAGCAATCATTTTTAATAAATGGTTCTTGTCCATATCCAAATTCAAACCAATCAACAAACCGATAAAACTTTAAAAAGTAAGGTAAGTGAAAACAACAAAGAATTTTTAAATTAAAATTAAAATTTTTTAATTTCTAAAAAAATGTATACAGCGGGACCCAAAAACTGTTCACTATGAAGCAAAAATGTTAGCAATTTTTGTTAATGTATTAGATGTTGTCGTTTAGTTTAAAACCTGAGTCTGAATATTCAGTGAAAAAGAGATGTGTCAATGTGAACACTGCACCATTTCTGTGTTTCATCTTCGTTGAAAATTATTAAATATCAGAACTAGGCTCTAACAGTCGTCATCATATTCCACAATCTACAGTGTTATGGGTCTCTCTGTACTTTAAACAAACATAGAATACTTTATAAAAATAGATATAGATTTAACCTTAGAATAGAAAAGAATATATTTCAAAGGTTTTTTATCTTCTTCACCCAGATTTGAACTTGACTGACAGGTATAATTTCCTAATCATTAGTTAAAACTATTAATTTTCTAATTGTGTTATTTGTGTGTATTTTCTTTTTGAAATGTTATGCTATATCCAATGAATTTAAGGCTGACTTAACTAACGTTTAATAACACGACAGTCAGCAAGTTTGCAATCTGTTTTTTTAAACTTCTCAAATATGGTAATTTTAGACCTGAAGCTGAATAATAAATAAAAGACATGGGATATTCCAGATTTAAAAAAAAAACCTTGTTGTGCTTAAAATTTAGTTTATTGTCATTTTTATTTTTAGATTCCTTTAAATGTGTTTTAAATAAAAACCTGTTGTGAACATTATGTCGAGAATAGTCCAGGAGGATTGGAAGAAAATCAAGCCTAAAGCAGTAAATAGTTTTAGCTTGGGACTTATTCTTTTTACCTTATTGCATCGGTTTGTATTGTGCATAAATATTATTTTTGCAAATGAAGAATATCTTTTCAAAACAACTGAGTTTTTGCAATAAACTCAAATTTTCTAATTCCTATATATTTGTAATCCAGTGTTGTAAACCTTGTATAGTTCAAACTATAAATTCTGTCTAATCAGATAATCTGAAATTTCAAAGATTTGCACCCCCAAAATTTAAAGATATGGATTAGAAAATTTGATTTTTTGACTCAATTCTTTTGCCAGACAATTTGAAAAATATTATTTCAATAATTTATGATTAATTTTCATATTTAAAGTATTAACAATGCTTAAGTTGCATCATTTCTTTAAAGTTTAAAGTATTTTCTATTTCTGGTCATTTTGATAAAGTTAAAAAATGCACCTAATGTTATCATTGTTAAGATGAAAACAACACATTTTAAATGTTTTATCATCTGAAAACATGAATCTAGTTATTATAATTGTAAACATGAATCTAGTTATTATAAATGTAAACATGAATCTAGTTATTATAATTGTAAACATGAATCTAGTCATTATAATTGTAAACATGAATCTAGTTATTATAATTGTAAACATGAATCTAGTTATTATAATTGTAAACATGAATCTAGTTATTATAATTGATGAATGAATTAATGAATCAGGGTTTTAACACAAAATATGTTGATTAATATCTTCTTTCTATATAATCAAGCTATTCACTCATATATATATGTTAGCAATAGCTAGCCAAACGGCTGGACCATATTGACTGACATTTTTTGAGGGAACCCATGTGGTACTTTGGGGGAAATATAGGTTAAAAAAATCGACATTTTTTTCTTCAAAGATTAATATTTTTTCTAAAAATCGAATTATTTTTTTCACATTTCGATTTTTTTTAATCCACTGGCAACGCCGGGCACTTCAGCTAGTTAATATATAATTGTCAGTTTGAAAATGCAACATTAGGATAATACTAAGGCACACTTTGACATCAAATCCTAAAAAGATATCCCAATAAGGGATGGGCATCATTTTTGGATTTTTTTTCAAAACGATCTTTTTCCGTTTTGAGTGTCCATTTTGGGAATCGATTTGCTTTCAAAACAAAACTATTTTTTTGTTTAAACAATTGTTTAACCTTCAGAACATTAGAGTTAAAGAATTTCTGGTCTTCATTAAAGTTTGCATAATTTCACAAAAGAAATATGTTAAGAATAAACATTTTGAATTATCTAAAATCTCTGAAAGACAAATTTATAAATTTCGATGTTTTACAACAATGACCAACTTAATTTGTTAGTAACCAAATAATAAGTTTATTATGTAACCAAATAATAAGTTTATAATGTAACCAAATAATGAGTTTATAATGTAACCAAATAATAAGTTTATAATGTGACCAAATAATAAGTTTATTATGTAAGCAAATAATAAGTATATTATTGAACTAAATAATAAGTTTATTATGTAAGCAAATAATAAGTTTATTATGTAACCAAATAATAAGTATATTATTGAACTAAATAATAATTTTATTATGTAACCAAATAATAAGTTTATTATGTAACCAAATAATAAGTTTATTATGTAACCATATAATAAGTTTATTATGTAAGCAAATAATAAGTTTATAATGTAACCAAATAATAAGTTTAAGGGACATAACGTTGTACCGTCAATTTGCCTCAAACCCTGATTTTTAAAGCATTATATTCTCGCAACCCGATGTCGTAGTCCACAAATATGAAATATGAAAGATATTCTTTTGAAATTACAAAAGGTTTAACCATCAGATTGCCAAGATATAGGTATAAGAAAATTTGAGTTTATTACAAAGATTGAATTCCTCAGACCCTTTCCTTCTATTCAGTTGATCCATTCAAATATAAAAAATGTAAAACATTAGGTTGCGAAAATGTAAGGGTTAGAAAAATAGAGTCATAAGAGCTGGGAACTTTAGAATGCTGGATATCGAGATCAATGCTTGATCTACTCTTTTTCTGAATATCGAGATTAAATAATGCTTGTTCTCCTCTTGTTATTAATCTCCAGATTAATCAACCGATCGGGATTAAGAATATTTCATTCTAAATTTTCAGCTCAGAGCTGAGAACTTTAGAATGGTGGATATCGAGATCAATGCTTGATCCTCTCTTTTTCTTAATCTCGAGACTAACCTAATCTTGTACTTGTATCCTGAAAAGTGTATAAAATTCAACCAATAAGAAGCCGGGAAATTTGAAATTTTGCACGCCATTAAAGATTAATATACAGAAACGGGGAGGAGTCTCTGTTTTTGAAAAACAGGTTTTTGATTTGTCTGTACTTAATCCAAAAAAGAGTGGATCAAGCAAGAAATTTAAAGTTTCCACATTGGATATTCTGATTAAGCAGTTGGGATTAAAGGTTTCCCATTCTAAAGTTCCCAGCTCAGTTTCTATGTTTTCCCAATTGCTTTTGAAATATCCCAAGTTTGCCAACCACTGCAAAACTAGAATATCGAACAACTAAACGGTAGAAAGGCGGCAGCTAAAATACAAAATTATAATATATAGACTTTAGTTCAGTTTTGATTTGAAAGCACAAAATAAAGACCAACGAATCCAATATTCGTAAAGAAGTAACTGGCATAGAAAATATAATATGCTTAGAGGAATTGTTTTGTGTTGGCTGTTTTACTTAAAATGAAATTAGAACTATTAAAACATCTGGTTGTTATGATCATAGTCAATAGAAAAATAATTATAATACTATAGGTATTGAAACTATTTTGTAAGGATATTCAATCTAATTATGGTATTAACGAAATCTAGCAATCTTCAAAAAAACTTCCTGTACGCAAGATTACCTAAGCTTAGCCTATTAACCTACCAAAGTTAAAAAATAATACTTTACTTATTTATTGAATACAATTTGGTGGTTATAACAGAATAGAAAAGCNTGCTTTGCTATCACACACGTGTGGCTGCAGCTTGAACCAGACTTGAGGGGTTGGCATGCAGTTTAGAGACACAAACCGCCTCTTTTGCTTCAACACCCCTTGTATTGCTACCTCGGTTAGCCTCTTCTTCAACCTAGATTTGGGACCGTTAAAAGCTTCAAAACCCAAAACTGACACCAGGTCCCCAACCATTCTCGCCCACGGGTCGTGTGCTGCGGTCGCCGCGTCGAATACATTGGCAAGGATTGGGTCGCGTTTCTTATGTAGAATATCCCACACATATAATGCTACACGTTCCCTTATCCTATCCTTTATTGGTTTGAAACCCGCATCCATGTATCCTGCTACCTTGGAAGTTGATCTCGGTAGTTGTAGTATAAAACGTGCTACTTGGTGTTGGATGCTGTCTAGTTTATCGACTACTCCATCAGTTAACAACAAGACCTCCACAGCATATAGAATTGCTGGGATTGCACATCTTTCCCATAGTGTATGTGCTACCAGCGCACGGTCAAGTCCAGCTCTTGTAACGCCCATGATAGTGTTTGCATAATTTTGTGCAATCTTTAGCATATAGATATATACATACTATCCCAGCTTAGAGATGTTCAAAAGGAAAAAGCTGGAGTTGAAGATTGAATGAAAACACTCTGGATTTAAGCATTAGAGTACTTATGGAGAAGCTTACTTAAAATTATATAAAAAATGTAATTCCAAATTTTGTTTTTGAATCAAATAAAATTATCTCTGTAGTAAATCTAGATGCTATAACTTCAATGATAACTCTACTCAAAGTCTAAAGAGAGCATATCTAACTCTATCTCTTGCCAAAACTCAAGGCTCTCTACTCTTAGCCAATACTCAAGGCTCTGGATACGTCCGTATTAATCAAAGAATTCTATTGAACTACTTTATTTATAAACAGGTAAAAATGAAACTGACCGGGCTAGCCCGGCTGGGTCAATATACAAATAATTAAGATAACGATATTACTAGCATGAATAACAAAGATAGAATTGCACGTCATTACAGAATATACTTCATCTCTTTTATCACTGGTCACAAAGGTCTAAAACAATTGAATTCTGCCGTAGAGAGAGGGTTACTTAACATTTAGAATACAGTCCCTTTAAATCCTAGCTTAGGGACGTTTTTAAAGAGGAAAAGAAAATGACTTATATACCTTGCAGAGGTACGCAGCTTGAGAGAGTTCTTCCTCCAAATGTTCCTGGAGCTTTCTAGCAGGTGTACAATGGTGTTGCATACTATTTTATCAAATCTATTCAGGCTCACTATCATTGAAATCTATTCAGGCTCATTGTTTTCTTGTAGAATTGGATTTACACAGGTGCACAAAAATTTAAATATTTTTGTTGCTAGAATATGGACGAAGCATACGCACATACTCTCCATACTTAAATAAAAGAACAATCTTGTATTTATGGTTTCCAGGTTTTGGGGATGCTCTTTTCACAAAATAGATTGAGGATCTGATCCAACCTGGTGAACATGTTAGTTTCAGGTTCCCTGAGTGTTAGATGTTAGTGTTAATCTTTGGATTACAATTGGTTTGGATCTCTGTGTGGTCATGTTGACAGAAAGAAGCAATGAAGTCAGGGATCATCAATACTCATATTATGGGAGTTTCCAGTTGAAGGTATTGAGCGCTGAATAGAATTTAGGTCTTTTGTAGAGAATCTTCTAGTCATTGTGTCCTATCTTCTAGTTAGTCCTAGGTGGAGAAAGAGGTGTCTAAGTCTGATTTTCAGGACTGAAATAATTTAGCATAAGTTGAGGTTTGGGGTTCAAGACGGTTCTGTTGAGACTGACCAGTTTTTATTCTTATGTCATAATCAATAGAGGCTTTTATCATCACAAGAAATTGGAAGAATCACTAATTATTTTTTAGTTCTAGTATGATTGCAGTTGCTAGTTTAATAGTCATAATAGTTGATTGAAGGTATGTTTTCAAAATCGATTTCACTTACAGAGATTATTGAACATAAAAAATTAATAAATGACAGGAAAGATGTTAATCATTTTTTTACATTTGAATAATACAATGAATCACAGGGATACAAAAATTTTTTTCGAATATAACAAGTTTTTTTGTTTGTTTTTTGTTGAAAAAGAGAAAACTAATAGAGGGGGGGGGGAACAGAGGAACAGAGGAGAAAACAAAGCTTTATAATTATTGTAGTGTGGAATTGATTGGTCTTTACTGTAAAAGTTGAAAATTTTTTTTAAATTAATGTTTAATTAGATTAGAAAGTGGAGTTAGTTTAGAAGAAATGAATAAAGTGTCATTGAGAATTAAGAGTGGTAAAACCTTAAATTGCTGATATGAAATTTAAGCAAGCTAGGGTAGAGTTGTTTAAAGTCATCTTTCATTTAGAGAAGAGAATAGTGTTTGAAATTTTCCAAACAAGGCTGCCACGAATCAATGTATGGCTTAAATTTCAAGTTATTAAAAGGAACAATGTGATGTTTCTTACGGAA